TTGACTGCACGGTTGGTGCGGTGGCTGGGCAACCGGCTGCCGTGCAACGTGTCGCGGGTTCGATTCCCGCACGGAACAACACTTTGTGTGATCCACAAATTGTTGTTTCGGGTCTGGGTGTCATTGTGTATGTGAACTTGTATGTTTGTAAACGCACCCACGACACAGGAGAAAATCCTAATGTGGGGCAACGATTTAAAAAAAAAATTGTTTGAACTTCGGTTCAACGATTGTTTGAGGCTTTGGCAGTGGAAAGGACGTATGATTGTCCTATCCCGGATATCCCATGGGACAGGAACTATTTATTAAAATTCCGGGACTTTCTATCGCTTAAATCACTGAACCTATTTAAGTGCTATTCGTAGCTTCTGGGTATCTATATCTTTAAAGATTAAAATTAAAACTATTAAACTTATTTGAGTGGAATTCGGTACAACAATTCCGGGAAAGGACATAGAATTAAAATTGGAAAAGACTTATTAAAAAATTCAAAATCTACCAAGTCATTATACAGTGAAACCTGGTTAAGTGAGACATCAAGGGACCTGCAATGTCGTTTCACTTAAAGAGGTATTCCACTTACCCAGTGTCTCAGATATAAAGGTATAAATAAATATCTGTCTCATTTACAGAGGGTTCGATTAATAGAGGTGGACTTGGAATTACGTGTGGAATTTGTGGGTAGAATAAGAATGAGTAAAGAAACAATGTTATCTCAATTACAGAGGTTTATGCTTATAAAATTTACTCGCTGTCTCTGTTATAGAGGTAACTATGATGATAAATCGAAAGAACAAATCCCAGATATAGAGGTTTACCTCGTCCCACTAACAGAGGTAATTCAGTGCCAAAGTGTTGGGACCTCAGTATGAGTTCCAGTTATGGAGGTTTCTCACTTATCCAGGTTCCACTTAACCAAGTTTCACTGTATTTATATGCGGACGAAGTAAAACATAAAGCTGAAGAGTTTGTTTGAATGCGCTTATCTCCGGAACTGCTGGTCCTATTTAAACGATATTTTTTTGTTGAATAGTGCTTTTATCGAGGAACCGAGCAGAGCGAGTGAAACTGCGGAAATAGCAATTAATAGCTAGGACAGGAAGAGTATTGCAGGAGTACGTCATGACCACTCACCATCGTGTGATGCTGTCGCTGCCAGAGTCTCTCGTGGACGGGGTACGGTGGGACGACAGACAGGCCATCCCGGCGACGCTCCCCCACTAAACAATATAAAGAATTTATTTATTTTCATTGTGCGCGGGGCGGTTAGTGCATGTGGTGCGGCGGGTGCGCGGGATGCGTCGGGTGTGTGAAGGTGTGTGTGTGTGTG